CGGGGAGCGAGCGCTGGGCTGGGCTGGGGTGGGGTGGGGTGGAAGGCAGGGCGGAGCCGCGGGTCGCAGCAGAGGCCCGGAGACCCCCCAAAGCAAGCCTTGGGTAAAAGGCGTTGGATCCTGGAAATTAAGCAGGGGTCTTCCTGTTCCTATAGGGCCTTTATAAGGGTTCCACCTGAAAACACCGAAAAATGCTGTTGTGGTGCAAAAGGGGATCTGCAGCATGGATCCTCTGGATCTGCTGGGGTCACTGGGCTGCAGAGTTGTGCCTCCAGGCCCAGATCCTCAGGCACACTTTTACATGGGATCCACCCAAAACCAGCATCTAACCCCAGATTATGTCTATTTGCGCTCAGTGAGCTGCCTCACAAATCCTTTACAACTGACCTGATTGTTACATGGGATCTGCTACACAATCTTACAACCATTTTCCTCCCTGTAGCTCTGCACAGTCTTAGTGGTGCAAAAATAGGTGTCTGAAGCGTAGATTGCTGAGTTCTGCACACGCTTTACCTGAATCATGTCTGTTTCCATACTATTATAGATCCACAGGCTTTTGGTGTGTGCACTTAGGGTGCAAAAAATTAATCCCTAGGAGCTTTACATGGGACCTGCCTGCACCAGGTGGGCCTTTGCCATCACAGCTTGGGCCATTTTTTATGCCAGAAGAACCCAGAAAGCTGGCCTCAAGCCACCCCCTCGCACTGAACGAGCCATGGCCATCCTGGGTAAGGGAAACATTCCTCTTAACCAACTTTTCAGATCAGTTCCTGCAGAATTGCGGATCACATCTCCTTACATCCCCTGGGCTACAATACTTCTGTGGTGCAGAAACACAGATCCCAGGAGTGAGCACTGAGTGGGAAGGAGGGGCACCTGCACCCACTCCCTGCTCAGCGTAGTGTCTCCAGAGTGCCTCTGAGAGACGACCCTTTGAAAACCTTGCCAAAAAAAGAACTCGGTGCTAACCGCCTAGGCATTCAGGAAGATCCTGGGACTGACGGCAGAGATGCCAAATGACGCAGCTCAACCACAGTTCTAGGCGATGCCGCGGAACAAAGCGTCCATCCTCTCTGAGTGATCACAGATGCTCCTGATTGGGTCATGGAAGAGGGGCTGGTGGGACGCCCGTCCTCTTTGGAAAACAGGTTCAGAAAGTAGGGCAGTTCCTGGGAGATTTCCCAACGCGGCCATCAGTTTAGGGATGGGCTCCTCAAGATCCAGTTCTCTGGGATTAATGCTGGAATGACACACAATTCTACTCCCCAGAGAAGCCAGGCTGGATTTTCTCAAAATAACGTTGCCATTTAAGACATCTGGAACTGGCAGGACACAAAATGTGCATGCATTGAAAGATGGCGTTGGAAATTGACACTTTGCAGAAGTAATTTGGCTCATCTACAATTACACTGGCTGCACGTGTGCTTTGTACAACAAACTGGCGGGCATTCCCTGTAAAACACCAGCCCCAGGGGGGGTGTCTATATTCCCCATACAGAACTTGGTTTTGCACCTTAGCACCCAAACGCTCCAGGTCCTGTTGATTAAAGGGGGTCACGTGGCAGGATCCTTCTCCATAGCAGTGCCTGGCCTCTGGAACGCCAGTTATATTGATTGAGCCCAACCCGTGGCCTCCTGCGAAGCCCTTAAGACCCCGTGGCTCTCTCAGGTGTGGGGACGAGGACGGGTTGAGCCCGTGAGCTGAATGTATTGCTACTGATCAGTCCGCCCTCGGGGGCATTTTCCTTTCGTTTTATGTGTTATCATATTCCTGGAGTGATGTTTTTATTGTGTTAGCCACCCAGAGTCGCTTTTGAAAGATGGTCAGCCATATAAATCTAATAAAATAGAAACCTTGCCAGATGTTTTCTCACTGAGTCCACCGAGAAAGATGGCAAGACGTTGTTTCAGGAAAATTGTGAGGGCCTCTGGCCCCAAATTCAGCTCTTTGTACTAGGCCCAGATCTGATTCCAATGTCTGGGTCTGTTATAAGGTTACGATCCTGCACCGGGCATGGGTAGTGGTGGTCGGGGGCCCACTGGATCTTATGGAGAAATCAGGTGGATCCATTCCTCAGAGCCACATTTTTCATGATGGCGGGGCTGGAAACATTATTGTGAGGGCTCACAGCATGCAAACATGGCGCATAACTCGATAAAGGCTCCATGTGTAAACCAAGCAGATCCCTCCACAGATCCAGGTTTACCCAACAGACACCATTTCCACAGTTGATGCAACGCAGTCCATGCTGACAGCCGTATTCTATTCTTCGATTGTAGTTTCATAGGTATCCCAAGCAAAGCCATGGACACGCGGTTGGTTTCAGGATCTGATTTCTTCCCCCAATTCTGTGAATGTGACCAACTTTGAGATTAAGGTGGAGGGGTGGGCTAGCCAAGCACCAGTGGGCCCCTGAGGGTCCCAGCAGCCCACCCCTTCCTTGCCCTGCCTCCTTCCAGCAACTGGGCTACCCAACACAGCCCGAGACACCCAGGGCAGGGCAGGGCAGGGCAGGGCAGGGCAGGGCAGGGCAGGGCAGGGC